TAAATACTATTTTTAAAGGTAAGTCAACTGGATATCTAAGTTACAATATATAATTGAGGTATATAATTATTACTAAATTATTTTAAATTTTCAAATATAAAAAAATGCAAAGAACACATAAGTAGCTATGTAGGAAACCAGGATGCCAGGCCCTAGGGTGAGGTGAGCATAAAGCTTATAGGTCCAGGCTGCATTCTCTGCTAAAAGGGAGGGGCACTGAAAATAGTGGCTCTGATAATCCTTGCCTTGAAGAACACTGTTGGGCTGGCAGTAGGAAGCGGCCTGGTCATAAAAGTGCAGGATCCCTGCTCTGTGGGAAAGGGTCTTGGTCAACAACCCTTAGCTCATCTCCTTGTCCTAAACAAATAACTCAGCTGTCCCTGGCTAAGAGATTAGGCCAGGTTAAAGGTTTACTCCTGAGCTAAAAGCTATACGTTTACCATGCTTTTAGCTCTAAGAAAGAAAACATTGTGGCCAATAAATTACTGGATGGGCATTGATAACCTTGAGTAAAAGTTTAAGAATCCTTCTGGCGCCAACTAACAGACTAAATGTCCTGTTTCTTTGCACTCTAAATCTTTGTATGTGACTGCCGTATCCCACCTGACTGCTAGTTCCTTGGGATGTATTAAAAACCATCTGAATTCTAAAATAAATCATCCTGTTGAGAAGACACAGGTCCCAGAGGTTATGACTCTAGCCGATCAGACCCTTTACCCTGAAGCCAGCAGGTCCCCTGCTAAGCAAAGCAAACCTGAGTCTCGACAACGGGGTGTCTGAAACAGGGACACTCTCGGACCTCTGCTTGGATGCGGACAGAGCAATTCTCCCCCCTTTGGCTGATCGGATCTCCTTGTCATGCTGGTTCGTAGGTAAGGGGCAATTGTAAATATCGGTAATTCTCTTTCTCCAGACCAGTCTCACTTCCAATCTATTCAGTCATTTAATGCATGGTAAAATCTAGAGGAATTAAATGTACAGAAACACAGATTAAGGCCTTTTTAGATATTACTATAGAATGTAATCCTTGGTTTCCTGCTATGGGAACTATTGACTTGGAATCTTGGAAAAGAGTAGGAGAAAATGTGCAAAATTATCAAAAGCAGGGAAAGACTGTTCCTGTCTTCTATTTCCCTCTCTGGTCTGCTCTTTGCCAGTGTCTCCAAATAGAAGAGGAACCCTTTCCCTCTGTGGCCCAGCCACCTCTACCTCTGCTCCCTCCCCCTTCCAGTCCTCCCTCCACAACAGCCCAACAACAGGAACCTTCTCAGGCTGCTACTCAGCTGCCAGCACCTCCTCTGGTGAACGTACAAGCCATTCCCCAATGTTCAAACACCATCACCAAATCCATGCAGCCTGGGCCTCTAAGTGATCCAAGAACCCGCTATTGGTACCCCAGCAACGGAAAAGCGCGCTTTCCATCAGAACCCACCTGCAACCCACTGCGCAGTTTAGCATGTCTGTGGTTTGTATAAGCCCGAAAAATTGTGAAGCTGTGAAGAGGGGAGGCAGACTGAGCGGAAGGGTTCAAGGAAGATGCTTTTGGGTTTTGCGCTAAATGCAATCCAGGGACTCAGCTTCCACAGCTTCTGCCGGTGTTGGTGCCCCGGTCCCTTTAAGGGGCGGACCTTGAGCAGCGTGGGGGCGGTGCCAGGCGCGCTCCCGGAAGACACGGGCTGAGTGGTCCAGGGCGATCCGACCTCTACCTGGCACTGGGCGCTAGGCCTGCCGGGGGTCCCACAGCCGCGGGGTCGGTGCTCCGGCCGCCTTCGTGGTGGAGTGCCTGGGTCGCTGCACCCTCCCGCACCCCTAGCCCTCTCTGCCCACCTCCCCCCGGCTCTTGGAGGCCTGCTGTCCGCACCGGTCTCCGGCGCCGCGCCTCTCCACGCCGGAGCCCTGGGCTGGGGCGGTGCGCGCTACCGCGATCTCGTGCGGGCCGGTGACCCCGCGTCCGCCCGCGCTCTCTGGCCCAGGTCGCTGCCCTCTTTGGGCCTGGCTTCGCGTGCTGCCTTCCCGGCTTTGGCGCCGCGGGGATCTGGAGGTCCGGCCTACGGCACCCGCGAGGAGCCGGCGGATGCGGGGTCGCTCTTGCCTCCGAGGAGCCGGGCTGACGTAGGCTTCGGTCGGAGCGTCGCCAGGGCCTCAGACTCCTCCAGATCTTGCTCTCTTCCTCTCAATGGGTTCGGCTTAAGTAGATGGATGGCCTGCAGCGTTAGGCCATGGGCCTGGGGAGGATGGTGACCCCCTGGCGCTTGTCTGTCAGGGTCTGCTTGTCACACCTGAGATGCTTTGAGTTCAGAAAGGAAGTTGGCCTTCTCAGACCCCTGGGATGCTCTCGCAATACCAGACTCTGTTGGCTTGTGCTGGGCACTTTGCCCAAATTCATATCAGCCTATGGGGATGTTGGTGAGGGGCCGCCTGGCAGCCTGAACCAGCCAAAGTCCCACTGGAGTGATCTGGCTGGAAATGGGCGGGTGAAGACGGTCTCCCAGTGCGGGCTCCTGGGCCGCGTCTTCCTGTGTCTGCGCATCAGTCTCCGCGCCGGCGTGCTGTTGGCGAAATTCTTCCCCCTCCTTCTCTTGTATCCCTTCACCTACCTGGCTCCTGGCTTCTCTACCCTCTGGCTGCACCTGCTTCTCAAAGCCACCGAGAGCTCGGGCCCTACGTATATCAAGTTGGGCCAATGGGCCGGTACCAGGCACGATCTCTTTTCGGAGGCTTTCTGTGCCGTGTTCTCCAAGTTGCACGTCCAGGTCACTCCCCACCCTTGGGCTTTTACGGAATACTTACTCCAGCAGGCGTTTGGGAAGGATTGGGGGCGCCTCCTCTTCTTCGAGACCCAGGAACCGGTGGGTTCAGGCTGTGTGGCGCAGGTGTACAAGGCATTCGCCAACATTGCTTTGCTGGAGGACAGTACCTGGAGACTTGGGGAAGCCTCTCGTCTGCAGCTGTCCTCGAGAAGCAGGGCAGGCAGAGGACCAGAGCTGTTGGAACACCTTGGGAAGGAGTGGAAGTCTCCGGGAAGTCTTGCTGATCAAGCGTTTCTAGAAAAGCTGCTCTTCCCTAAAGCTGGCGTGGTTGAGTCGGGGGTGGGCATATCCCAGATCCCTGGCTGCCCACTTGAGTCAGATCACCTCATCCCAGTGGCTGTGAAAGTAAGTGCTCCTGTCCTCAGCCAGGCCCTCCTCATCACTGGCAGGCCAACTTACCCATTGAGCTGTCCTAGGTCAGAATCACTTGTGTGAGTCACCTGCACACTGCCTTGCATTCACAGGTTGAGTATTCCTTCTCCAAAATGCTTGGGAACAAAAGTGTTTTGGAATTTATTAATTTTTGGATTTTAGAATATTTACATACACTTGATGAGATATCTTGGGGCTAGGACCCAAGTGTAAATATGAAATTAATTTATACTTCATATTTATGTATATTTGCTATGCATGCAGACTACAGGTAGATTGATTATTTACATGGATTTAATCAAAACACCTTATATGCATTATGAAATTCTCAATAAAGTTTTTGTAAAAGTTAAAAAAATAAATAAATAAAATAAAAAGTAAAATTCTGCCAGCCTCTGTCTCCTGAGTGCTTGGATTAAAGGCATGTGGTACTACACCGGCATTTTATGCAATATTTTTAGTGCACTTTTGTTGTGACTTGCATTCATCACCTGAAGTCAGGTTTGGAATTTTCCACTTGTGGCATCATGTCAGTCCTTAAAAAGTTCCAGATTTTGGAGCATTTTGAGTTTTCGATTTTTGGATTTGGATGCACAGTCTGCATTTCTGTTAGTTTAACCAATGCCTATCACATGCAAGCAATTTCTCTCTTTTTTTGTGGTAATGAGGAGTGAACCCAGGGCCTCCCACATGCTAGGCAAGCACTCAACCATTGAGTTATATCACCAAGCCCTCTTTTTTTTTTTTTAAATGTGCGTTTACTTGAGTGTATGCAGGTGTGCTATGTGCATGCAGGTTCCCTCAGAGGCCAGAGGAGGGTGTTGGATCCCTTGGAACTTGCATTATAGGTGGTTGTGAGCCACCAGATGTAGGTGCTGGGAACCAAACCTGGGTCCTCAGTAAGAACAGTAAGTGCTCTTAACCTGCTGAGCCTTCTCTTTATCCCTTTTTACTTTATTTCCAGACAACACCTTGCCGGGTTGTCCAGGCAGGTTTTGAACTTGTGATCCTCCCTTCCTAAGTGGCTGGGACTACAGACCTGTGCCACCAGGCTTGGCTTAAGTTATTTCATTTCTTGACTTAAGGGAATGGTGCTGGGAATAGTCTGAAGGAGGAAAAATGACACAGTTTGGAGCCTGCTGCCTCTAAGGTGGAGGAACCATCCTTCAAGGGCATCATAGGTATTGGGGTGATTTTTCATTTGCTTTGGGGAGAAGCACACTGGTGGGAGTCATTGCTGGCTAGGTAAATAGGTAAAATGTTTCCTCCTAATTTGCTTCCCATCACATGGTTCTTTCTGGCAGGTGTTGCACCCTGGCCTGCTCTCTCAGGTGTACATGGACTTACTGCTGATGAAGATTGGCAGCCGTGCCCTGGGGCTTGTGCCAGGAGCCAAATGGCTTAGCTTGCCTGAGATTGTGGAGGAATTTGAGAAGCTCATGGTCCAACAGGTGAGTTCTTCCCTCAGCTGTAAATAGGACCTGACAGTGTTTTTGCCACAAGCAGTTGTTATGAACAGGTAAATGCTGAATGAATAGGTTATTTCCCAGCATTTCACATTGAGTATGATTTCATAGTCAAGGTGGGTCATGCTAACTCATGAAACAAAGGATGCCCAGTCTCACCAACTTTGTGCTCTGAGGTTATTTCTTGGTTACATTCAGGTAAACTGAGGGAAGAGGGGAGTTCTTATTCTATAGTAGTTTTAGGACCTGTATCCATTACTTTGCTGCTGCTTGATAAAACACCATGACCTCGGATTGGAGAGATGACTTGGCAGTTAAGAGCACTGACAGTTCTTGCAGGGGATCCTGGTTCAATTCCCAGCACTGACATGGCAGGTAACTAACATTCGTAACTCTAGTTCTAGGAGATCTGACACCCTCTTCTGACCTGTGTGAGCATTGCACACATGTAGTGCACTTACATACATACAGGCAATACACTCATACACATAAAATAAAAATAGAACATAAAATATTAAATAAATAAAAATTGAACAAACAACATGACCAAGGCAACTTATGAAAAAGGGTTAATGGCTGGGCGAAGTGGCACACACCTTTAATTCCAGCACTGGGGGTGGGGGGGGGCAGAGGCAGGCGGATCTCTGTGAGTTCGAGGCCAGCCTGGTCTCCATAACGAATCCAGGGCAGCTGGGGCTAACGGGAGACCCTGTCTCAAAAAGACAAAAAAAAAAAAAAGGGTTAATTGGGCTTATGCATCCAGAGGCATAAGAGGTGGGAGCATGGCAGGAGGCAGCTGGAGCAGGAAGATGTGTGCTCATGTTGTGAAGCAGGCACAGGAAGCGGAGAGACAAACTGGAAGTGGGCAAGGCTATATAGGCTTAAAGGCTGCCCCAGTGACATGCTTCCTCCAGCAAGGCCACACCTCCACTGATTGGGGACAAAGTATTTTACTTGGGGTGGATGGGGGACTCTCATTCAAACCACCACAGGACCCATTTTCTTTTCAAATTTGCCACTGCTGTAGCAATTGGAATACCAGAGCTCATGTCTCCTGTCACCACTATGGCCATTGAACAGAGACAAAATTTGAAATTTTTTTTAATTAAAAAAAAATTTTTATTTTTATTTTAGGAGTATGAGTGTATTGCCTGCATGTATGTGAGTGCACCCATGTTGTGCAATGCCACGGAGGTCAGAAGGGCTTCGGATTCCCCTGGAACTGGAGTTAAGGACAGTTTGTAGCCGCCATGTGGGTGCTGGGAATTGAATCTGAGTCCTCTGTAAGAGCGGTCAGCACTCTCAACTGCTGAGCCATCTCTCCAGCCCCTAAATCTTTTTTATTTTTTTTGAACATTTTTATTTTGTGTGTATATGGGTAGGCACATGAGGGCCATGGCATGTATGTGGAGGTCAGAAGATAACTTGTAGGAGTTGGTTGGTTCTCTCCTTTTACCATGTGGGTCTAGGGGATCAAACTCAGGTCATCATGCTTGGCATCAGGTACCTTCACACAATGAGCCATCTCACTGGCCCAGAATTGAATCTTTAAATTATGATTTATTCATAAACTCTCATCTGAGAAATCAGTGGAATAACAGTTTAAAAAAGGACCAGCCTTATGTCTTTTCTCCATCCATCAAGTTTTATAGGGTGGGGGTGAAAGGCAGCCAGTCATTCCAGAACTAAGTCTTACTCCTCTCAGCCATATTTCTGAGACTTGTGATGTCTGTGCTTCTCTCTTTATCACCCCTGCAGTCATCCCTCACTTTCTGATATTTGGGTGTAGGCAGTTCTGGAAACATCTGCAGGTATCAACTTTGTACTTCTTCAAGGGCCATCTAAGCTGGGGCATGTGCCGTAACAACAAACAAACTGTTAATGGTGTATACATGCTAAGCTCTTCTTTTGTGTGTATGTATGAATGTTTTGTCTGCATGTATGTAAATGCACCCATGTTGTGTAGTGCCTGCCACAAGAGGGCATAGGATCCCCTGGAACTGGAGTTATAGATGGGTGTTAGCTGCCATGTATGTGCTAGGAACTGAACCCAGGTCCTCTTCAGGAGCAGCCAGGGCTCTTAAGCACTGAGCCATTTCTCTAGCCCACATGCTAAGCTCCTAATAACATGGACATAAAGATTCCTTTTTTTTTTTGGTCTTTTTTGAGACAGGGTCTCCCTATACCCCCAACTGGCCTGGAACTCAACTATACAGGCCAGGCTGGTCTCAAACTCACAGAGATCTGCCTGCTTCTGCTGCTGGGATTAAAGGCGTGTGCCACCACGCCCAGCTAGATTTATTTTTATAATATGGAATACAAATATGTCTTTGTGGTACAGAATAGAAAAATGCTCCCATCCATCCTGTCCCCTATCACCATCTTCACCCTGTACCAGTGTGGAATAGAGATATCATAGAAGATTATGTAAGAGATTTTATGGCCAGGTCCAGAAGTGGGAACATTTCTTCCTTCTAGTCTGCTGACCAGAGCTTTCATCATAGGGGTTCCATGGAACTGTGAGCATACTTGGGGAATATGGTCTCCTTACCAGGTATGGTAGTGCACACTTTAATTCCAGCACTCAGGAGGGAGGCAGAGGCAGGCAGATTTCTATCAGTTTGAGGACAGCTTGGTCTATATAGCAAGTTCCAAGTGAGCCAGGGCTACATTGTGAGACCCTGTCTTTAAAAAAAAAAAAAGAAGAAAAGAAAAAAAGGCCTTTTGTTCTTGGGAGGAAAAAAAGAAACAATTCTGATGGAATGTCTATTAGTTCTGCCATAGTGACTAAACTCCAGGGTGAGAAGAGCCTAGTCCATCATTATCTTTGTTTGGCTTTGTTTTCAGGGCTAATTGAGTAGATGAGGACCTTCTCCCTGATGGGGACCTTTGGGACAGTTATATAATAGCTAGACTTGGCAAATATTCCTGAGGTTGGCTGGACCTCTCAGTGGGCATCTATACTGGCTTCCTGTTGGCTAGAGCAAGAATGGGCAGGCTTTAGATATTTAAGTCGTCATTTATATCCTCTGACTGAAGGTTTTAAGTTTGAGGAACAAATTTTAATGTTTAGAAAGTATTTGTGCTACCAGGTATGGAGTGTAATCCCAGCACTCAGGAGGCAGAGGCAGAAGGAGGTCTGTGAGTTTGAGGCCAGCCTGGTCTATGTAGCAAGTTCCAGGCCAGCCAGGGTACATATTGAGATCCTATCTCAAAAACAAAAATAAACACACAGTAAAGTATTTGGACTGTTATAACAAAATACTATATGCTGTAGAGCAATAGTAACTTACCACTCACAGTTCTGGAGACTCAGCCCAAGGTTAAGACAAATTCAGTGACTGGTGAAATTCAGTGTTCTGGTTCATCAGTGTGTTTGTATGGTGGAAGGGGTTGGGTCTCAGGCCTCTTGTAATCTATTGAGGAGAGCTTCACGCTCAAGACCTAATCACTCTCTGCAAAGCCCTACTTGCTAATACTGTTACCTTAGGGGTTAGGATTTCAACATAGGAATTTTGGGGGAGGGGGGTTGTGACTGGGGAGGAGTGTGTGTGTGTGTGTGTGTGTGTGTGTGTGTGTGTGTGTGTAGGGGTAGGGGTAGGAGTAGGGGTAGGGGTAGTGGTAGTATGGTGTTTAGACCAAGGTAGAAAGCTTAGCTTTTTGTTATGGAGTATTTATTGAAGGTTTGACAAAAAAAAAAAAAAAAAAGAAAAAAGAAAGATAATTAAAACAGAGATCGCTTTTACTCTAGCTACCATCTCTTCATCTTGACTCTTGGTTTTACCTCCCATCTGAGCTTTAGCTCCCAGTTAAAGCCTGATAGACATCAGGAGTCCCATCTCTTGAAACTCAAGTCTCCATATGTCACCCATTTGTCTTAAAAAGCAGCCTTGACTGGAGAGATGATTCAGTGGTTAAGAGTGCACACTGTTCTTGTAGAGGACCCAAATTTGATTCTTAGCACTCACGTCAGGGTGGTTCATAACCACCTGTAACTCCAGCCTCAGGGGATCCAGTGCCTTCTTCTGGTCTCTGAGTGTACCTACACTCATGCGTGCGCGCACAAGTGCGCACACACACACACACATAACACATAATTAAAAATAAAAATAAATCTTTGAAAAAGCAAACTAGCCTTTCCTACTAACTCTCCCCCTCCTGCATTGTCTCAGCATGATGTAGGCTTAGGTGTGTGTCTCAGTCTCTGTTCATTTGTGCATTCATGTAGCAGATATTATAAACTCTTAGAAGCCGATGTGATATAAGAACAAGTGATCTTTTCCTGTTTTTAAGGGATTTACAGTAGGCAGAAGGGGCTGCCATGTGACTGCATGGGAATCAGTTACCATTAGAGTTCCATTTGAGCCTCCACAGGTTAGCATGGGCTCAGTGGGGGCTCAGAGAGGATGTGCTCAGGTCCTGCTTTAGGGGCACAGGCTGCTCAGCTTGAGCAGAGTGGAATATTGAAAGGTGTTTTCAATTGGGCCAGTGGGGTCTTGCATTCCATCCCTTGGCAGTAAGGGGGTCCAAGGAGAGCGAAGAGTTTAGGCCATATAGAATGTCCAGTAATCTGCAAGATGTGAGGTGAGGCTGGAGTTTTGGGGTAGAGGAAGAAGGAGGGACCAAAGGAGATAGATCTGGAGATGAGCAGGGACCAAACCCCCACCACCTGCATGTCACTGTGAAGAGGGTAGACTTTACCATGTAGATAACAGGGGCACGGTGAGAGAGGAGAAAAAGCCAGGAAGGTTATTAAGATAAAAACTCAGTTGAGCCTGGCATTTTGGCACACCTTTAATTCTAGCACTTGGGAAGCGAAGGCAGGTGGATCTCTGTGAGACTGAAGCCAGCTTGGTCTACATAGCAACTTCTAGGACAGCTGGGCTACAGGGAGACCCTGTCTCAAAAACCACGAAGAACAAAAGCAAAAATGGGGTTGGGAGTTCGGTGGTGGTGGTCTCTCCAGTGGGGGCAGGGCAGGGCAGGGCAGGCCTGTGTGGAAGTGGTCCCAGCTCATTGACCATAAAGGAAAGAGGCCAGCTGGGCACTGGGCTGCCTGGTAGGGTGATGAGGCCAGACTCTTGGGAGATGATGGGTCAGGGTATCCATTGGCTGGTGTGAGGGGGTAGGTGAGCAGGGAGGAAGCAGAAAGGCCCAAATAATACCTGGGGATCACCTATCTGGCTTGGAGGAGTTCACATGGCCATTCTGGACTTCTGAAGTGGCCTTGAACTAGCTAGGGTACCTTCTCTGAGGTTCCTGAGTATTCTTCAGGGGCCAGGGAAACTGAGGAAAGCAGGGAGAACCTAGTGACTTGCTGACTTGTGGGAGTTTCAGAGACCGTCCATGTGTCCACTAGATCTCATCTTTCCTCTCCAATTCTGCAGATAGACCTCCGTTATGAAGCTCGGAATCTAGAATACTTCCAGCACAATTTCCAGGATGTGACATCAGTGAAGTTTCCCACCCCTCTGCGTCCTTTCGTCACTAAGGATATATTGGTGGAAACATATGAAGTGAGAATCCAGTCCTGCTTGTCACTCACAACCGACTACCCCAGATCCTGGAGAGAGGCTGGAGAGACGCTGGAGAGATGTGATTTTGCTTGTAAAACTGGGAGAGGGCCAAGGGTGGTAGAGTGCTTGCCTAGCATGTGTCAGGCCTTGGGAGTCCATCCCCAGCACAGCAGAAAACCAGCTTACTAACCAACCAAACCTGAGGAGGACCAGGCAGGAGGAAATGGAGTGTAGTGAGCTGGCCAAGAGGGCCGTAGGTGGCTTCAGACCTCTTAGATTTTAAAGTCTGATCTACTGTGTTATTATCTCATGACCTCATGACACTGTCCTGGGAGTAAATGACGCATTGAATGAAAACACATTTGAGACAGAGAGAGTGCTCAACAAACATCATTTACCTTAGCTGTCCTCTAGACCCACCTCCCTAGTGATGGTGATGTGAGATCCAGGGACTTGTATGAACCACCCAGTGTCTTTTCTGTGTCATCCTCAGCCAGTTACTAGGACTCTGGGCTTTTCTTTTACCCTCAGGGGGTTGCTTTGATAATGAGATAATGAAATCAACTGAGCTGAACATTTTTACTAGCCCCCAATTCTTCTGGCTTCTCTTTTTCTGCTCAAGCCCCACTTCATTCGTGACTCTTTTGTTGGTTCTTTTCTTTTTTTTTTTTTTTGTTTTTTTGAGACAGGGTCTCCCTGTAGCCCCAGCTGTCCTAGAACTCACTATAGTGTAGACCAGGCTGGCCTTGAACTCACAGAGATCCGCCTGCCTCTGCCTCCCTAGTGCTGGGATTAAAGGCGTGCACCACCACACCCAGCAGGTTCTTTTCTTTTATTGCTTTTATTTTGTTGTCTTGTTTTGAGACAGGTCTCATGTATCTCAGGCTGGACTCAAACTTGCTATATAGCTGATGATGACTTGAACTCTTGATCCTCCTGCTTCAGCCTTCCATGTGCTGGGATTATGGGCTTGCCCTACCCATACCAGGCTTTGGGCTGATTCTTGGCACCTGCCTGTCCTCTCCCAGGACCTGGAGCATCTCTGCCCTGTCAGTCAGCAGCAGAGTGAATGACTATCAACCCTTTTGTGCAGTTTCACAGGAGGGAAATGTAAATAGGTTAAAACTGATGTGTGGATGACAGATTCATAGGTGTTCTAAGATCAGCCTCTAGGTCACTGTGCTGTGAACAGGAAGACAGAGCAGTTATGTGTCCTGGAGCAGGGGAGGAGGCGGTGCAGTTGGCAGAATTAAAGCTGTCTTCCTACTCTTTTCAAGGAGAGCGTGCCAGTGTCCAGCTACCAGCAGGCAGGAATTCCCACCGACCTGAAGAGGAAGATAGCATGGTTGGGGATCAACATGCTTATGAAGATGGTGAGCTCGGGCCGCCTGGGTGCTGAGGCTCAAGATGAGGCTGGTTCCATGAGGGGAGCTCTGGGCATCTGGGTGGGAGGGTGAGCAAAGCAGAGAGCTGCAGGTTGGGAATGTCTACTTAGAAAGAGTTGAGCCCTGCCCCTCAATTTTCTGTGTCCCAAAGCTCATGCTGAGCACTTGCTCTGTAATGTGCATTGTGTGTGCTGTGGAAAGAGTGGTGAGCACACACTTTAGACAAACACTAGAGGTGATGTTGCATATTAGATACTATCCTATTCTCTCCTTCAGTGTTAGTAGATTACTGCTGTATGTTAAGTGCTGAATTAAGTGTCAGACTTAAAATAGACACTACTTTAGTGTTCACTGGGAGAAGCAGCAGGGAAGAAGTTTGTGACATGTAGGGGTCAGTACAGGTAGCCAAGCATCTGCTGGGAGGAACCTTGTCTAGATCCAGGACATGGGTCCATTTCAGCTGTGAGGACAGCCTGTGCCAAAGGCAAGCAGAAGTGGGAAATGGAAGGCATGTCATGTAGTATGGTTCAGAAGAGTCAGGACTTTAGTCCAGGGGCAAGTGAGCTTATTCTGACTTTTCTTTCCTAAAAAAATTACATTATTACGCCAGGCGTGGTGGCACACACCTGTAGTCCCAGCACTTGGGAGGCAGAGGCAGGCAGATCTCTGTGAGTTAAAGGCCAGCCTGGTCTACACAGTGAGTTCCAGGACAGCTAGGGTTACAGGGAGACCCTGTCTCAAAAAGACCAAAAAAAAAAAATTACATTATTACAATATTCACTAAAGTTTAGAGACTTTTTTTTTTTTTTTTTAATTTGAAGCAGGTTCTCTCTGTATAGCTCAGATTGACCTAGAACTCATTATGTAGCTGGCCTCAAACTCACACTGATTCTCCTGCTTCGGCCATCCAGGTGCTAAGATTTCAGGCATGAGCCATACCTGACAAGTGCACAGGTCTTTGGTGTAGTGTTCAGTGAATTTTTTAATACATATTTAAAAATTTTTTTGGTCTTTTTGAGACAGGGTCTCCCTGCAGCCCCAGCTGGCCTGGAACTTGCTATGTAGACCAGGCTGGCCTTGAACTCACAGAGATCTGCCTGCCTCTGCCTCCCAAGTGCTGGGATTAAAGGCATGCACCGCCATGCCTGGCGGGATTTATTTTTAATGGGTATGAATATTTTGCCCGCATGGGTGTAAGTGTGCTGTGTGTCTGCAATGCTCATGGAGGCCAGAAGAGGGTGTCAGATCCTCTGGAACTGGAGTTACAGATGGATGGGCTTGCCAGGCAGTGTCTGTGCCACACTGACTCTAGAGGTATTAGAAGGGCATCTGTCCCATGCCTGGTCTATTCAGATGGCTTGGAGCCCAGAGTCTGAATCTGGTTGTGTCTGAAACCAGATGTCAGCTCTGCCACCTACTTACTGTCTGGGGACTGGGAGGGGCAGTTGGGGCAGGGCTCTGCCCTTGAGCTTCTCATTGGTCTAGAGGGTTACAAAGGACTTTGCTCACAGTGTTGCCATGATGGTTTGATGAATTGATATTTCTTTTTTTGGGGGGGGTGCTAAGAGATAGTTTATTTTGGAGCCAAATATGAGTGACCATGGCCTGGGAACACAGATTCACGTTACCCCAAATTTCATGTTCCAGCATGGTAACTGTTGCATTATGTTTTTATGGTAACAGAACAAAGAAAAGTCATAAACCAAGACACTTCAAATACATTGATGGATACATTCAGTAGACAGGTCATAGCAAAGGGGGGTGGTTTCTACTGTAGCTCTCATATGCTATCTGATGACATTCTTAGCTTTTCGATTGGTGGGGTCTGCTAAATTAGTACATTTTATTAGTCACAAGAATGTTAATTCAGAAACAGAGTCAGGCAAGGTATGGCTATTTTGGGGGTTAAAGATGTCCCAGATAATTTGTGAATAGACTCTGGGAACTTTTCTTTCACAGTGGAGATAAATTGGAACAAAGATCAAAAGAAAGGCATGCATCCCTGGGCTTTTTTCCCTATATCTTGGCTGAGCTTTCCAGATCCAGGCCGTCAACCCCGCCAGCCAAGATGGCTGATACTTTTTAAAAAAAATATTTTATTTATTATTTTTATTTTATGTGTATGAGTGTATTGCCTACATGTATGTGAATGCACCTGTA